AATTCAAGGAAATAGAGAAAAACCTATACAAGGTACTGTACATCATCTCAATATATTGAACTTTACCAAAAATGTTGGGATAACGATCCTAGCAATCATCCAGAAACAAAATTAATTCTTAATACTTTAAAGCAACTTATTCCTATTGAAACTTTGAGTCAATATAATTCTATCGAAACATTATCTACATTATCTGAGAATAGTGAAATTCTCTCAAGAGGCCAAGACAATATAAACACATTCAAAAATTCACTTGAAGTTATGACTTCATCTCCACTTTATTTACCTGACATGATAAATTCGAATACTTTAGAGCAGGATAATAGTATTCTCGAAATTTTGAGAAAGGAAGCACGAGAATGTTTCAACCAACGCAAATTTCTCAAAGCATTGGAACTTTTTGAGGAAATACTCAGAAACAGCCTAAAGATCAAAAAAGCGCTTCAACTTGGGATCTATCTTGGAACAAATATGGATTGAAATATTTAAGCAAACTAACGGATCTGCCTTACTTCACCGACAATCATTTCACCGACAGCTCACTTAGCCGACATCACACCAAGTGACAATTTATTAAAATGTATACCTCCGACTAATAAAATGCTAATCCTAACCCTATGTGATGTCGGCTAAATAAACTTTTGGTAAAATGATTGTCGGTGAAGTGAGCAGCACTGGTTCAGGTTCAGGAAATTCATCAGTACCTAAGGGTTCTAATTCGTTTACTGAAAACAAACTCCTAGCTCATGGCAGGCTTATGACTTGTTTCCGCATATAAAATTTATCTGTATCACCCTACAAGGCTTATCATTATAACTAATTTGTGAGACGGGACACAAGTAGAAATTGCCATTTTTCATTTTTCGACCTAAACAAAGTCGGTCAATTAACTCATGCCACAAAATTTCACTTTGTGAGGAAACCAAACCTTATCTGGCCTAAATGCGTACAATGTATACATGTATGACGGAGTATCGAGCCTCTTAAAGTCTTATTTTTAACGATTTTAGCCTTACATGGTTATATAACTCATGATACATATATTTACATAGAAATTCTTTACCGTGCTTTCTAACATTTTGAGTTTCAGAGAAGAGATGAAGGAAAGTGTATAAATAGATAAATTTTTTTTTTTGCTTTTACCATACACATTAATAAAAACATCTATTATTTTTTTGTGCTTTTTTCAATCATGCCTACTGAGTTACAAACAAAACTTTGTAATTTCTTAGTTAATATAGAAGAACAGCATATAACCTCAGGATCAGTCATCTATAAAGCTATAGAAGACAATCCATGGATAGAAAAAGATGAATTGAAAGATATTATAAAAAAGGCGGTATCATTTGCTAAAAAGAGAAGTATTCAGGGTTCTTTGCGATACAGAATACTTTGTGATATTCTTTTAGAGATGAGATAGCAAATTTTTATAAATATATAAGTTGTATTGGATGATGTTTATACAGACAGTGGTGCCACTGAAAAAGAGAGTATAATAGCTTAAGTTCCCTATAGCCTGCCAACAGGATTTTTCCTCGACAATAGGAGGGTTCTTTAGGTTATAAATACATGCTCAATTTTATGTTGTTATTAGCATCACACAAGATTTCATTTCTGTGATGGAGTAGCTAACCTCACAAAAGTGAAATCTTGATTACAATCTGACAGCACATACGCTATTGAAAAATAATATAATTTGTATAAATAGAAACTAATTTATTTCAATGTTTGTTTTAGTTTGATGTTTTATACAAAACAGTCAATAGTTTCTGTGCTCTTGGAATTGTAAAAGTAAATGACGAAAAGCCTTTTACTTCAGAACAAATTCAGAAAAATATCAATAAGTTGAAATCGAAGTTAAAAAAGAAATGAAATGAGAACATACTATATCAGGATTTATTTTCAGCTATAAATAAAGCAACTATATCAAAATTAACTTGAAAAGATCTGTTGGGAAGCCAAGTTATTTTTAACAATTCAAATATAGTACAAAATTTGCTCTCTGACTTGCAGAAATCTTTTATGGTAGGCATTAAATGACAATCTAAAGAACATAAATAGTATTCTAACACAATCTGTCATTAGAAAGTAGTTTTATCTGAATCTTTTCCGCCAATTGTAGAAAATAAATGTAGTGAATTTGCAAGAAATTTCGTTACTTGTAATCATACTCAGTTACCTCAGGTGCTTATACATGATGGAAAATGGAAAAAGTCGAACAAAAAGTTAGCTGAAGTTACGAGTAGGATTTTGGAAATATTGTAAGAAATTTGGTAATCTCTATAATATTAATTATGATCTATTCTATTAATCTATTCTTTTTTTAGAAATAATTCTTGGAATAATCTAACATTTGGCCTGGAACATGCTGAGTCACTGAACGAGAGGACATATGTAACTAACATGATAGTACCTGCAATTCAAGCTTCATTAAAGAATCTTCTCTATGGAAAGAACTGCTATATTAGCATGTAAGTTAAATAATATCGAACTAATATTTCATGGTTGATATGAACTTTTTATATCTTTTATAGTTTCAAGCGACAAAGCATTGCTAGCTCAAATAGAAAGGGAGAGGAGCGATTGGGAAGAAGACCAGATATAATATTCGTTATAAAAAATAAAGGTAAAAAATATGAGCTTATGTATAGTGAGTGCTTACATTTGTTTTGTACCTCTCAGAAAATAGATGATAATGCCGTAAAGTTATGGTGTAAAACAAACAATAGTATGTACTAGGTCTACAAGGGTTGTAGACCTGAGAAAGATGAATTTGGGATAATCGAATTACAAGTCACAGGACCTCTGTTACGATTAACGGTACTTATTAGGGATGGTGCCAGTGTAGATCAGTATTATTACTTACATGAATTAGAAATTTCCGTTCAATATTCAGATTCTAATATAGTAGCAGAATTTATAAAAACTTTATTGATACTCTATAATATTTTAACATTGATACTTTACGGGTCTTTACCTAAGTCAGAAAGGCAAAAAGAAAATAGTTTAACCATTGATTCTGATTCAGATTAGATATTATAATATTACTATATCATGTATTTTTTATTATATCAATAAAGAAGTCTTCTTGCATTTTATTTTTTTACACAGACATTAGTTCACAGACAATAGTATAGCGTCATGTACCACAGGCTAGTCCCGAACATTTGTATTATTTTTCACATGTATTAATAAAAAATTTTTTTCTTGACATTGTTCGCTAAAATTTTATTAGTTTACATTAACATGATAAAGAATTGAATATATCCATATTTTTATAAAATATAAAAAATGGTAAACAAACAATCCAAAGTCAATTCCCAAGCTTGCAGCTGAGAATGATATACTTAGACAGGAAAACACTGAGATTAAGTCTGAGAACATTGAACTTAAAACTGAGAATGTAAAATTAAAACAGGCTTTGAAAAAATATGAATCCAGATTTATGAAACTGGAGCAGAATGATAAAGATACTGCTTCGAAAAATGTCAAACTTAAAGCTAGGGTTGCGAAATTGGAACAGAAACAGTTACAAACTAACAAAAAAAAGAGCAACCATATTATATTACAAAGTAATGACTATACTAGCTCTACTGATGCCTTTATATCTAAATCGGATTATACCACCTTCATTGAAATGGAAAATTCTAATGATGCTCCTGAACAGACAAACTTACATTGTAATGAGTCAGAGACTTGTGGCTATACTATTGATACTCTTGCATATACATGTATACCTAAATTATTTTTGGCTTGCTACAAATAAAAATTGCCAAAAATATTTTAGGCGCCTAAACCGTAAATAATATCAGCTGTCTAAAATATTTCTGGCTATCTAAAATAATTTCAGCTGCCTAAAATGGTACAGCTGTTTTCATAAATTCTGGAAGACTCTAAAAAAATTTGCCGAAGTTTATTTGGCCAAATTCTTTAAGTTATTGATTTCAGTATGATTAGTGTGTAATCAATATATAAAAAAATTATTGAGTTACTATTACAGCAACATTAACTCTTTTAACACTTTATTAAAATTTTTTTTGTCTTATCTAATATGTTTGATATAAAAATTTATATCAAAAAAAAACTGTTCTTATCAATTAATAGATCTTTACTAAAAAAATTTAAACATAAATTGAACTTTCTTAATAAACATATAAACAGCTTTGAATTTAAATGATCTATAAATAAAAACAAAATTTTTACTTCAAGTTCATTTTGATAAATCTTTTTATTATATAATTATCTTTGGTAACTTATTATATAGCAAATTTGTTTATTGAAATATACTGTATATATACAAAATCATAAAAAAAAAAATTGAAAATTTGCTTTTTTTAATACATAACACTCCGAGTAGGCACTAAAAAAAAATAAAATAAAAGGTTAAATACAATCAGGGGCTGTAAAAAAATACAATACAAATTAAATCAGAGATCAAGAATTTATTAATATTTGCCGATGATGTCTTAATAATTATAATAAAGTTCAAAGTATATATATAGTGTTTATTTAAAATGATGGTAATTTATCAACACAGCCAAACTTTTGAAATTGTTTGAGAACTCAACCCACAGAAGACCTGTTAACACCCAAATGTTTAGCAATTACTCTAACTGAAGCCTTCTAAGTTCTTTTAACTATTTTCAAACAAATATGTTTTGAAAAATCATAATAACAAACACATATATATTATGAATTTATATATGTATAGCACCAAAATCAATAGCTTATCGAATTCGGCTAAATAGACTTTGGTAAATTTTTTAGAATGTCCCAGAATTTATAAAAACAGCTGTAAAACATTATTAAAAAGATTAATATACGTATTAGTGATTGGCATATCGGCAAAAAAAAAAGATCTTTATAAAATTTTAATACTGTATATATTACAAGCTTCCATAACTAAACTACTAAATTCTAACTTTAAAGAGCTATTAAAATGATTTTATAATACTAACTTCTCATCCTAATACTAGCCATTAGAGTTCTAATCTGCTAAGAATAACTATTAGATATCTGGATCTGAATTTATTCTGATATTCGTTTACTATTGATATCCAGATAATTATTCAAATATCTTTCAGATTATCTGGATATCTGAGTGATCTTATTTATTTGAATAATTCAGACATTATAGCTATTCTCATAAATTCTGGAACAACTAATAAAAATTTGGCAATAAGCTTTTAATATCAGGTACATAAGCTTTTGATTTTTATATTTTGGACATTGTTTGCAAAATATTAACATGGACATTTACTATATAGATGTCGAGTTTTTGTTTAATTGTGCCAAACATTAGCTATAAGGTTGTCCAAAAGAAGTAAATAGGATCTGTAACTGCAATAAATTATAAGGTTATTTTTTTTGGCAACTGAAATAATTATGGTTGCCGAAAATAATTATGGCTGCCGAAAATAATTTTGGCAGCTATAATTATTTTTAGCATTTAGGCATTTTGAAGAGGCTGCCGAAAATATAAAAAATACTATAATGCCGTAAATCACCCTGAATTTAGGCACACATGTATATTTCATCCCAATATTCTGTATCACCTGTCTGCACAAAGTAAGTCATTGGAAGGCAAAGAAATAGATGAATTCGTAGATTTAATATATAAGGAACAGGTTAGTAAAGAGATAATTCAGAGAATTAGAGAGAAGAAACTTCAGAAACAAGAATTATTCTCTATATCGGTTGAAGAATTATATAGTGAAAAAGTAAGACTGAAAGTCTCACTTAAGCAAAACAGCAAATCGGTACTAATACAGCCTGAAAAAACAAAAGTTTCACATGATTATATAGTCGTCCAAGATTTTATTCAAGAAGTGTCTTCAGAGTTCACAGATGAGGAAATCATCGAAGTCATTTATATACTCACTACCAATATAACAATAGAAGTTGAGCTAGCTCATTTGTTTCTAAAAGTAAATATTGAAGAAAAAAAATACTATACAAGCTAAAAGAAAGAGATTTCATGTTGTTACTAATATGGAAAAAGATTTGAAATGGGAGTTCAAGAACTTATAGTACAGTCCGGAATTATACCATATTTGGTTATTGTAGATCACACCTTATTTGGTGATGATCATCCATCAGATTGTTCAGGATTTCTTTTCCAGATTATTTCACATGCTACAAGAAGATTGGCTAATTGTCTAGCATAGAGGGATTAAATATATCATTACATATACACTGCATATATTATCTGACTTTAACTGACACTTCATACAGTAAAAATACTTCGGAGAACAGAGAAGTAATTTGGAAGTTAGCTACGAAGTATACTTTTGTCATATAGACTAAAGCAATTCAGTAATCGGTGAGATAAACTAAACTTTGGCTAATAAGTTTTACTATACTTTTTTTAACTTATTAATTTACAAATAATGAGCTAATAGTTGTTTTTTTTTATATTTTTTCTGATTATAGATTATTCAATCAAGTTTTAAGAGTTATAGTATATTAAATATAGAATAGTATAAGGTTATGTGCAATGTTTCTGTAGTTGATTTTGGTTTTTTATACTCTATGAGTGTATACTCTACCTATTAATAATTGATGGTTCTATAATTTATTATATTATTATTTTGGTAAATTATTTAACTGCACTAGTTAGCAAGCGATTTAGTCAATAAAGGTTATCTATATATGTAATTGTATCAATAAATTGTTAAGTTTAAATGTTATTTTTTAAAAATTAATAAGTTTAACTAGACACACAATTGACAATAACTATTGAGATATAAGCATTAAATATTAATGCTTAGAACGCTCTGTTTTTATGACAGTTTGATCTGTCCATCTGCTTTTATGAACGCGAATATATATACGTATGAATTCTTACCAATAATACTAACCTTTACTATTGTATATACAACTACAAACTAGAAATTATTTTTTATAATTTTAATATTTATATTCCAGACTTACAGTTTCTAGTATTTAAATATTTAAAAATAGATCCAATCAAATCAAAAATTGGTCATTAAGTAAAAAATTTTTTTTAATTTTGCTTCGTTTTATTTAAATTAATTTTGTTTTTTATTTATTAAGAATCTAACGCTATAATCTATATTGAGAATCTAACTATATACTACAGTACTATATAAGAATCTAATACTAACTACTATAAAAACTAGTTTTTGTGCCTAACTCTCATGCTATATTCACTCTGAATCTATTTATCATTCTTATATTCATCCCGAATTTACCTATCATTCTTACGTTCATTCCAAATTATCATACTATTATCATGCTATGCAATACTCCAACTATTGTGCTACGTTTTCCTCATCATGTTATGTTTTCTCCAACTATTATGCTATATTTATTTTGAATCTATCTAACTATCGTGCTATATCAATTCCAGCTATCATACTATGTTCGTTTTTACTATCATGCTATGTTCGCCCAACTATTATATTATTTTAACTGTTGCTATGCTCCAACTATCATGCTATGTGTATTCTATATATCGTACTATGTTTGTCCAACTATCGTACTATGTGTATCCTATATATCGTACTATGTTTGTCCAACTATTGTGCTTGTCCCAACTATTATACTACGTTTGTCTAACTATTGTGCTTATTCTAACTATTATACTACGTCCGTCCCTATCATGCTATGTTCACCCAACTATTGTACTATATTCTTACCATATACCATCTATTATGCTATGTTCATACCATCATGATATGTTCATTCTTACTATTATGCTACATTTGTTCTTGCTATTAATGCTACGTTTGTTCTTACTCTTGTACTATGTTCGTTCTATTTGTTAATACACTGAAAAAATACATTTTTTCAATCTGTTTCACTTGACAATATGCAGAAACAATCATAAAGTTATATTCTCATTTACCTTTTTACAGACAACTTACTTTGTGGGATTATTTGGGATTACTGAGATTCGTCGCTTCTATTATCTATTCGTATATCATTTAGTAACAAATAGATATATGAAATTTGATAAAACCCCAGCCTGAATACATGCATAAAAAAGAAGTATGATAACCAATCAAATG